ATTAAGATGGCATATGACACACGGTGTCAAGACATTTTCATCTTCCTACTCCTGTCAAAGAATGTGATCGGCAGATATCACCTTCCAGTAGACATAGACATTCAAGAAATTCTTCTCACGCACATAGAGCTAGGAAACAGGTATGGACTAATATAATCTTCCTTTAAAAGATTTATTGTTCCTGAATGACGTGAAATATCTCCTTGCAAGGGTGTGAATCTGCACATGTAACTGACATGATTTCGGTGTATTAACATTGATATTAGCATGATTTACAGATTCTGATTCTTGTATTTGGGATAATTCCCAATTGTTTGTGATTATTGTTTTTTCTATCTGTAGCGATATGGTGTCAACTATTCTTGAGAGTGAATTTGGCGAAGAATGTTTGCTCCCTCGTTATACTTCTGGAGACTCCTTCTATAGCCAGAACGACAGCTTCAGGCTCTTGGTGCAGAAGATGCCTCTCCTTGCTCAGAAAGCACTGGACGCTTGTCAGCCTGACGGTGACGTTGACTCTTGGACTGTAGAGAAGAAAACATTCATTGTGCATTATCTGGACGAAGTATACATTAAATATGGTACTACTAGCTGTAATCACTTTTAATAATCATAATTTAAATCATTAACATAACTTATTTCTGAATCTAAACTCTATCTGATTATAGGACTAGGGAATAAAATATTGATGCCCCCAGTTTTGTTCAGCAGGTTTTTTTTTTTTTTTTTTTTTTTTTTTTTTTTTTTTTTTTTTTTTTTTAACAAAAGTTATTTGATCTATTGAAATTCAGTATATATGAACTTTTGATATTGAACGTGTTCATGGTAAATTTACACCGGGTGATGTGCTTCTTCAGATGAATCCTCCAAAGTGGCCAGAGGTGGACCGCCTTGTGTAACCCCAATAAAGGATGCGTACCAGAAAGTACTTCAAGATGATGGCCGGCTTAAGCCAGACGTGTGCCTCGAGGGGAAGGTGGACAGTGCATGGCGAGAGGACCATGTGCTGTCCTGGATGCTTCGCTATGGTCGAGAGGACCTGGTGAGCCATCCCGTGGTGACCTGTTGGCTCAATTACAAGTGGGACAAGTATGTCAGATATGGACACTACATATCTGTTATTCTTGCTCTGCTCTTGGCAATTTTGCTCACAATCTTCAATTCTGTTTCCATGTAAGTCCATATGTATCTTGTGTGGCTGAAATCTAGAATACCATATTATGGGATTTGGGACAATATTCAGGACATGTTCAGAAGGCTTAGTATGGCAACATTACATGATCATTTCAGATTAAATGCTGTAGGTACATGCTGATATCCGATTTAAAGTACATCTTCGTATAAGGATGAATGTTGTAGAGTGGTTGAGTGCCTGCAACTAAGGCCAAAGACAAAAGTGGGCTCTTTGCCACTGAGGAGAGAATATGTGATGTACTAGCTGGTGTAGACCTCTGTAGAAATGTTGGGTTCTCCGGCATATGCATATATAACCCTTTATTCTTACAGCATAGATGAATATGAAGGTCAGGGTGATGTGCATTGACGAAAAACACATAAAATAGGATCTGGTAGACTCATTTACTAATGCTACTAATGCTTATGGATTAGAGCGACCATGTAAAATATGTTGAATTCGGGCACGTAATTCTTACTCGTTTATTTAGTGTATAGATGAGTTGTCTGGATGTATGAGTATATTTGAAACTGTATGAGTATCTTTTTGATTTGAGGACAGCTTGGCTATAGCTGTGGCTGATAGTAATGGAATGCGTTGTGGATACCTGACTGTAGTTGGCAATAAGCCACTTTTTCCCTATAACTGTTTTTTATGTTATTTTTTGAATTTGCTTTATGTAATATCAAAATATAGTTTCCTTTTCATTGTGCTTTTCTTCCATAAAATTGAATAAATATATGTAAATTTTAGATATTTGGAAGTAAATACCCTAGGATAGAACGGAGTATAACATATACTCT